CTATGTGAGCAGTTCCCAGTGAGGTTCAAGAACTCCCCAAGCTGTCTGTGGCACACTGCCATTTAAGGTGTGCTTCAGATCATCCAAGAACTATTTTCACAAAGAAAACAGGCTACAAGAATAGGTGGCCCTTGTGGGCAGCAGACTGCAGTGCTAAGCAAGGGAAATGGACACCCACAATTTACCAGAGCTCGTGACTGCCCTAGAAGCTCTAGTACTTTATTCTACTGTAACCTAAACAAGGTAGATTGTGTTAGTGACCAAGAAAACTCTGCTCCTTGTCACAGGTTCTTCAAGGGCAAATATAAAGAAAATTAAAAGTAAAACCACTATATAAAAAATAGCATACGTATTAAATATTCTGAACCTCAAAAGGGAGAGTATTGTACTTATGATATATGGAGTGGAGTGGAACTGACTTTTGACAATGATTCAGTTTAAGGAAGAAAATCTGAAAGTGTCTAAGCAAGAGAAGGCTGAAAACAGTGTTGTAAATAATATTGGGGATTACATGATGACACAAGCAGAAGTTGGTGGGATACCATCGTAGAAGATATTTTTTGTAATAGAACTTTTAAAAATACTGCTTGAGCAGCTTTGAGGTCCTGGCTGGAGGCTGGACAGTTCCTTTTCTTTAATGATGGATCATATCAATATCCCACTTATTTCCTCTACTGGACTCTGACCATCCGGGGTCACTGTGCATCAGCCCTATCACACCAGAGCCAGGTACCAGACAACTAAAGACAGCACCTCTGTCCCAGAACATCCCAGAGAATTTATTCAGATTAGCCAATCCACAGGGAGCCCAAAAGATCTAGCTAACCTTGCCTACTTGCGATACTTAAACTATCTCTTAGAGCTTCAGTTTGTTGTCACCTTGTTCCCTGGTTCAACACTGAGTGGCCCTGCTTGGCAGCCTTCTCTTGCTTAGAGTTACAAGTTATAAGGCGTTATGCCTTTCACCTGTTGGAGTGCCACTGTGTTTGGCTCCACCATTAAAAGAATTTTTAAATCTTAAAAAAAAAAACCCTCATTAATACAGGTGTGTCCCTTCAGACCAGCCAATGGGATATGCCTTCATGATAATAACAAGAGCTTATTGGGTATCTCTTTGAACAGAGGTTGAATTCAAGATTTCATAAAATAGGTCGCAGATGTCAGGAACGATGTTCAAATAAAAAGTATATGTAAATTCATGGTAATTTCTATCTAAAATTTCAGCCCTTATTACAGCCTCAAAGTGGGTGGCAAAAAGTGGGGAAAAGAAACCGTATACTAGCATTCTCATTTGAGATGTTATATAATGCAGGTTGAATTTTAATAGATACTGAGTAGCAGATAAATGGATCCCGGAAAGTATAAACCCTCTCTCATAGCTTTTGCAATGATCATATATCAGTTACATGACCAGCAATGTTAATATTAAAATAAATGAATTTCCCCAATTATACTAAGCTAGAAAAAGGAAACTTTAACAAGACAGGAGCCACAGCTAGCTGTCATGCTCTGATATGTGTTAGATAAAATAAAACACAGACTCTGCTCCATGCATACTTCCTTGAGTATGTATGACTCCCATTTTTCTTTTCTGAGTGTT